AAAAGAAATGAAGTATTTTGTTCATAATGTTTAACAACGGTTTTAAAAGTACTGTAGTGAACAGAACACGGATGGGGACAATCGAATGTACTAAGGAACAAATTACAGACTATCTCAATAAAATCTGATAACCATACAATAAACAGTTAACTTGCAAAATAACAATCAATTGTCTCAATCTTGACTGTTCCTTCTGTAAATATCAATCCATCTGCTCTGATTGAATTGTTCATGCATTTTCATTCCGATTGCGCTTCGTTCCTATTCTTTCCTTATCGATCTTCTGCCAAAATACATTCTATGGTCTGACCATCACCATATACTACTTATGAGGATATAAGTAGACCACACCACAGTACTGCTAGCCTTATCATTATCATGTATATTATAATCATTTCTTGATTTTTTTTTCAACTTATCATATTATCTATAAGTTTGATCAGATGGCAACTGTTAGGAAGTAATAAGTTTCACTCAATTAGTGTATAAGATATATGGTGTTTCATGTTGTTGTTTTTTTTACTTACAACATAACATTCATATTCTTAGCGTTAAGTAATACGCGTAACTATACTGGTGTTGTCGAAACGAACTACAGATATTAACACTTTTTTCTTGGTTAATCAGCCTACAGATAATTTAAGTCAACAATGTATCACTCAAAAAGTAATCAGACTAAAATAATTACTTTTTTAATGTTTTTTACGAGAGTATCAACTATCTTTTTCATCTTTAATAACGTGATCCGAACGAGAGTTAAACATGAATAAACGAAAAAGAAACTAATCTTCACGAATTTAATATGACAATACGGTTAACATAATAATCAGTGGGCACCTCGAGTAACTTTACATGTACATGTCATTATTACTCATCGACTGACCAGCAGGTTTCTACTCACAGCATATCAAGTACTCTAAAAAATGTATCTTCATTAAGACCATTTTTCACGCGTTTAATAACTGGTATTGCTGTTAAAATTCTATTCTGACACCTAAAATCTTCTCTCTGTGAAACTTAATTAGGTTAATAGTGTACCCATGGAAACTCTTTTTGAACAATAGAGTAAACAAATACAATCATGGAAACTTTTTAAGTAATCTTAAAATACAAGAATTCGAAAAGTGAATACTTTTTAATGTAAACATACATTAGCATAAATAGTTGTACACAATGTAGTTGAAAAACATATGCACTAAAATGTGAGGTAATTATAAATAAAATTTTCATTAAATTTCTTTTTAGTATCACATAAACAAGGTCAGTCAATGGAGAAAATCTCAGTTTGAACAACCGATTCTAGTTATATTCTATTAAAGAACATGATTTTAAACGAACATTGGACATTCACCAATTACATAGTACTATTTTACTACGAACTATTAAAGTGTATTATTGTATAAAGACTTTGGACATAACTTTTCTAAAAAAAAGCAGAAGTCGAATACTTTAGCCGGAAATTTATTGTAAGCAATAGCACTAACCTAAAGTCCATGGTTATTTGAATAATCTAAATGTCAGTTGTTATTTGAATCCAGGTCTAAAAATGTTTACTGCCTTGTATCGTCGATAAAAAAATGAGACAAATACATCAGTCTAAACTCCGTGTACAGTTAAGATCATCATAGCACTGTCGCTTATCGAAATGATCGTTTGTAACACTATTTTATTTACTGATTCTACGGGTTACCATAATGTTGAACCATTTATGTCAATGATTATGTTCCAAACTTTGTCACACGAAAATGAAATAGATATTAGACAGGATGATAAATGTTGCTCTCCAGTAAACATTTCAGACAAGGCCTAAATAGCTCATTGATTTTGTCAGTAATTGTAATGCTATATAATCAGTGAACACTCGGAAGGATATGAATTTCATACAGAATGCAAATCTACTATACCAATGAGCCTTAAAAATCACGAATATATATATGATTCCATCTAAGTTCTATAATGTTGTCCATTACCAAAATGGTGTATGGTTAGACGATTCAGTTTTTGTGAATAAGATAAACTCCATTTATTACCTTTCACGTGAAACAAATCGGTAAAACGTTCGTCTATATTATGCAATGCAACATTGTTTGAAGTCTTCATATGAGAGAAATTGTGAGCTACCCTAATGTGTTCTCTTTGCATAAACTATTTCCAATGAATAATTGGAAAAAAATTTCTATCCTTCATGATTTAAACATACAAAAACACCAACTGTCTGAAACAACATACTCATTTAGTCTCATTTATATCTGAAGAGTTGATTTGAGCATGAGATCAAATCCCACAACACAATCAGACAATTTAATCAAGTAAATTTCAGTTTATTCATGTAATACACCAAGCTAACTCCCGATATAGTGAATTATTTATTAAATTTGAATTAGCACACAAATGAAGTAAAGCTTCAAACATATATATGTCTTTCTTATACTATTAACGACTTATGGATAAGGCTATCTTTACTAAGCTTTATAGCTACTGGAAATACTTTTATTGTATTTCCAATCATTAGATTATTATTATTTAAACACATACATATTGGTACAAAAGGGCACCAGATACATATACGCCACACAAAACAATGAAAATAGGAAGAGAAAGGATGAAAAGATAAGGTGGACTGAAATGTACAACCGCAAGATTCAGTTAAGGAAGTTAGAAACACTTTATAAAGAAAGTAAAAGAAGGTTACAGCAGGATCGCCACTGGCTTCTATTCTGAGCCATATCTGATAACGTCTCTAGCCACTGTGTAGCACCATCTCTCGGACCCCAGCCAGGAAGTCGTGAAGGACCAACAGAAGTTAGCCCTTGCAGCTTTCTTTCAAACCAAAACACCATGTCATACACTGACCACCTCTTCTATTTTTCCAACCAGTCTCAATGTCGGCAAATAGTGCACGACGTGGAATTATCTGGGACGACATTCGTAAGACATATCCGAAGTCAATGTCTCAAAATGATAAAACCAATTGAATTATTGTCGCTGTGCCTGAACACACAATGCCTAACCTGTGCATTACTAACGTGGTGTTGCCACTGGATGTCGGCAACCCTTCGGAGACAACGATGATCAAGCATAGCGCGTCGTCTAACATCCTCAACTCGGAGTCCAGGTTTCACGAGCATAGTGCAAAACTGCTCTCACCGACGGGTTGTGGATTTAACATTTTAGAGCCAGACTAACACCACGAAGGCACCAAAGATGGCTCCGATTGGCATAAGACTCTCTAGCTTTCACTATACATGAATTGATCTAATCATTCACTCACACCACCACCAGCACTTATGTAGCTACCTAGATACACGAACTTCTCAACTACTTCAATCTGATTACCATCTAGGGTGAGTACAGGATTAGAATCCTGCCAGTCTTGTAGGAGTACTTTGCACTTGGAGGGTGCAAAGCACATACCGTACTTGCAGACACTGAATCATTAGATATGTTTTTACAAATTAGGAAATAAACAAAAAAACATAAATGCCATTATTTTGATCGATTCAGCTGTGGAAGTATAAAATATCTAAGAATATGGTTAGAATAATGATGAGTATCTCAACTGAAAGTTAATTATCATCATCAAGATTCGATGAGATCAGTATAGCCCGACCATCTAGTTGGTTGAGCATAGTGGAAATTTGGAAATAATCCATTGAATAATTAGTGTTTTTCTTAGAATGGTTTTATATTGAGCAAATGAAAAGAATATTTCCCTACAAAATAACATAGTTTTACTCGTTTAAGGAAAATAAACTTTGAACGAAAATTAATTTACGAAAAATCAATCGAGTGCACTTAAGTACAAAAAAAACAAAATCTTCCAATCCCTTACATATTTGATTTTAATGAACAGATGTAGAAAAACAAGTAACGTTTTTAACGTATCAGTTTTGTGAAAATTACAATTACTATAAAATCTCACCTAAAATATAATGTTGATATTTAAACTCGACTAATGATTGGAAGGTTCATAATGTGAAACGAGTGAGAACTAGACCAAATGCAGCTAATTACATTTCATGTTTTTCTTGTACATTGTAACAATCAATCAAAGAAACGTATCACTGTATATCTGAAGATGTGATTTAATCGGTTAACTGAATTAAACCCTAGATCATTTCCAACAGACAAAGCTTTATGATAGTTGAGAACCATCACATTAGTTTAAGTCAAGAAGCTTGTATCTAGGCTGAATTTAAACCGCCTACTCTCAGATTACCTGTTTGTGATGAAAAGTGTTAAAGCACGTAACACAAGTGCCAGAAATTTATATATCTTTTTTTGGCGGCCTGCTTAAATCCCTGGGCTACCTGTTTCTGCCATCTAAATATTTCAACAAGTTATCTGGGTTTTTTAAAAATTGGTTTTAACCTATCATTATGTCTCTTGATCGCATAACCTATACAGGCGCGTTTATGAAAAGCTTACGTCCTTTCGCTGCAAAAATTACAAACAAGTACAATAAGAGACATTGTGGTGTTTGGCAATATGCTTTAGAGAGAATAAACATTAATCAAATGTCGATTCCCGAGCTGCTTAACTCTAACTGTCGATCTCTAATTAACAAGGTGGACTATCTCCAATTTCTGCTAAGTCAAAACATGTATCGTAATTGTGGTGTCATCACAATTCAAGAATCTTGGTTGACTGACTTACAGGATGATTGCCTAGTATCATTACGTGATCTTAATATCTATCGTCAGGATCGATCAAACAATAAAAAGACCTGTGGTGGCGCAGTAGCTACTGGTTTATTTTTTTTGGTAAAAAACTTGTTGAAATAACTCGTGCTGAGAATTCTATATTGTACCAGATTATAATATTGAATAAAGCCATTAATTATTATTATTATTAACAGTAAACCGATTGGAAATTTACCTATCAATGATTCGAATTCATCTTTGATATAAAACATAGGTCACTGTTAGTCAATATCGATTTGTGAATAAGTTAACAATATTCTTGTAATTCAACTAGCCTTCAATAAGAACAATTAAGAGTTAGCTGTAAGTATAGATATATATTTCTTATTTAGACATATGTTATACAGAAACGATTCAAAAAGCATTCATTAATAGTATACAAAAAAGCATTGATAATCATTTAATCTTTAAAGAACAAAATAACAACAAAAAGTTAAAAGATAGCATTTAACAATTTGCATAAAAACGGAAACAAAACAGATGGAGGTAAAAAAAATAAACAAAAGTTTGATTTTTGGTTAAAAAAAGCGAAAAGTTGTTAAATAAACCAAGGTGATATATATATATATATATTTATCTATATAAAGTAACTTTTTGTATTACACTTCAAAGTCCATATAAAAGCCGTAGCGGTAATGTATAAAACAACAATCAATACAGAATAGATCAGTGTTGGCATGTGCACATACACAAAACGTGTATGTACATAACATATGAGATCGAACAGATGTCAGATGATAAGATAATGACAAGAATGAAGAAAATGTAGACTGACACAAACAAATGGTCAACATTAGAACATTGTTTAAACCAAATAACGTATACATAGAAAGGAAGCATTCATGTAATACATTACAGTAATGCACAAAAGTTCAGATACAATTAACAAGTAATAATATAGTAAAGACAACGATTAAATACAACTAATAATGACAAACAATTATAAAAACAGTACATGTATAGACATAAATAGTTTAATACAATAAATGAACAATAATATTAATAAGTCCTACAGTATAAAAAAAATCATTCAGATAAAAGCATTTTGAACAGCAGTTAAATGATATACATATAATTGAGGAAAAGAAAACAAAACAATAAACACAAATTGTATTTTTCGTTGTGTTTATCATAAAACAGCAGCTGTGTAAATTGGTAAAAATAATGCACTTGTTTTTATTTTCTAACAAGTAAACAAAAGAATCCTAGGACTAGCTGATGCGTTATTTTTTGAATATACTGATGTAAGCTTTTGCTCTTTTTGTAATATTTTTTTTTGAAAAAAAATATACGATAAAAGAAAACAGACCCAACAACAAGGAGATAACAGTGAGATTCGGCAATAGGAAAGAAGAAGAGCAAAAAAGCAAACAAAAGAGGGAATTATTTTTCGTAAAAAGAAAAGGTAAGATTAAAGAACATTCCCCATTTTCAAACCAGATGTGAAACATTAAACAATAAAAAAAGAGTGTAAGTACACAAAATGAAACAAATTAAGTTAACTCAATGAGTTAGATCTCTTAAATTGTGAATTTCAAAGGGAATGAAGAATGAATTGAATATTTTGATTTACTGGTGAGGAAAAAAAGTTAAGGAATAATCTGCTTGTTTACCACTTGGTTAATTTCAAGAATTTATTTGATGTGGTAAAAATCAAAAATTTTAACTTTTAGTTAACAAATAAAAATTGGACGGGAAAATTAGCAAGAACTGTGTTACTTTATCTAAACTGCTGGATTGTAGTTTCGATCAAGAGTTGGTAAACGATTTGATGGGCCTTTGTGCCTCTCTGTTGCATATTCCCCAATGAAAGAGCCTTCTTCATTGAATTTACCTATTACATTTAAAAATAAAAAAGAAGACGCAACACAGTTTGATCATGAAGAAAATATGTAAATTATTAAGTATTAGATCATTATGCATAGCTTAGTTTTTTCTAAGCTGAAATGTTAAAACCGATGGTAATTTGGTTACCTGACAAAACACGAGGGAATCGAATTTTCATTCACTATTACTAATAATAAACTCTGAGTTAAATGTTTGAAATACATGTCAAAACGACTAAACTGAAAAGCAGCTTTATCTTTAGAGTAGTGAATTTATCAAAATCAATTAAGGAGTAGTACTCTCGCCTAATTAACTGACCAAATAAACAACCAATTGAATAATATGAGAGTAGAAAACAAAAGTTTATAGCAACTTACCAGGATCAAGATTATAATCGTCAAGTTCACCATCTCCATCACTGCCAATTTCAGCACTGTCATCATTTAATGAACAACGACTGCCTCGAAGTGGCGGTTCTTCTCTAAAACAAAATAACCGATTAAGTTCGGTTAGAAATTTATCGAAACACATGCCTACATAGCAACTGCTTAAAATAGATTTCTATCGACTGCTTACGAACCTTTGAGAGTACACAATAAAAATTATACTTAACTTCAAAAGTGCACTAAGGATAATTTATTAAAGTTAAAAATGAAACACGGTACCGCTATTTAACGCATTGTCCAGAGTTTTAAAATAATAAAGAGATTGATTAACCGCGTAAAATTATGTAGGGGATCAGCAACGTTTGTTAGGAGGATGAATACTACTTAGCTTCTCAAACTAAAACAGATAGGGTGGGCTTTAGGTCGACTCGAGTACAAACAAAAATGCTTATTTCAATAGTCAATAACCTAAATGGCTGATACTATGTGCTAAATTGGTTGCTTCAGATATTCCTGCAATATAATACTTTACTAATCCCCATCAGACTTCGGCATAAGATGTAAGAGGTGAGTGGGACTCGGGTTACATTTTTCATAACCACCTCAATGGCTACTTTTACATTATTGATCGTTCTGGTATTTCTACACAGAACCCTAAGTCTGATTTCATCATAAATCACAGTGAGACTCCAGTACATGTGAGTAATGCTTCGAAGATATCTGTAATCAAAAGCTTGATACCTGTGCATATCAAATACTTTCAAAGACCATATTTCACAACAGCCATAAAGTAAAACAGGGGGTTTTAATTACAAAGTGCTCATCATTTGAGAAGCAGAATGACATCTCAACTGCGCTACAAGTGATGCAATTTAGTGAAAACCAAAAAACGTCTCTGTATTTATTTCTATGTTTTGTCAAACACCGACGTAACATGGCTGATGAAACTTCTAAAATAAGTCAAACGGTTAAATTCTTCGGCTGGTCCGATTCTTATGGGTAACAAAAGCGACATAGATCAGTCCTGAAGGAAACTTTCCGCGTTGAAAAGTAAAGAAAGGCATATCACAATCTTCTATTGTTAATCAGGAAGTAAAGGTGTTTAGTTTGTCAACTTTCTCTTCAAATGGGATTACATCATGTGTATACTTGTTAGTACGTTCCTAGTAAAATAGTTCAAGAGAGCTGATATGACTGGACTTTGAGAATCTACAATGTGAAATGACTCTAGACAATAAATAAATAACATAAAGAATTTGCTACAAGAAAACAGATGACAAATTTGGTATTAAAAAATGTAGTTAGCTGGACAGTGGTTTTATCTATCCATCTAGTGTTTAAGGCTATATTCTTTGAGCTATAAATATCTGTTTAGCCACATTAGTCAAGAAATCATCTGACACTCAACGATAATTCCGGTGCTCCATCATGATCGACCATATATAGAGTGAAATTTAATCATTTGCATATGACTTTCTTCATTGTATCGAATAGATTCAGACACTTATCAATGGAAAGAAATTACATTTTCCAGAGTAGTTTTTTTTAAAAACATGTGAAAATACGTTGCAGTCTGTAAAATCTACAATTTCCACTAAATTCATTAGTACTATTGAAAATGAACAGAAACATTATTTGGAGGAAAAAATAGAAAACTTACGCTCTTTCATAAGTTTGAAATGCTTCTTTTTCACGTAGTTCTTTTTCTGGATCATTTCCAAGAGCACGTTCTTCACGATCCACTGAAGAAATAAGTAAATTACAATCCAGATGAAAGTCATATTTATAAATGAAATAAGTACAATGAACTAATGTACTATAAGTGGCAGTAATACTGAATATTAGAAATATAAAGCAAACTACAAGGTTTCCAAATCCGGATAAAGATCTCAGTAGAGGCATCACACTGTCAGTGCTATATAAAACAAACAAGGAGGATATGATGCGGATGTGAAGGCAAGGATTAGCAAAGCAAATGCAGTATTCCTACAGTCTCAAAACAACTGTCAAACAGCATGGAAGTCCAATCTTCAATACAAACACCAAGACAGTTCTACCGTACAGAACTGAAAATTGGAATACCACTACAACCATGATCGAAAAGATACAACTATAAAAGATTGTCTACACAAGATGCTCAATGCTTATTGGTCGGATAACATCAGCAACAACCTACTGTGGGAGAGAGCAAACCAACTTCTAACTGAATAAATTAGGAAAAGACTATGGAATTGGATATGACATACATCGCAGAAATTACTTAACTGCATCATGAAGCAGGTGCTAACTTGAAATTCTAAAGGGAAACGGAAAATTAGTAGACTAAAGAACATAATGCGTTGGGAGTCGGAGACAGACATTGATTTTTTTCAATTAAGTAAAGTGATCAAGAACTAAATGACAATCGAATGAAGATATTCCGTGTCCATAATCATCAGATTCATCTGCTTAACAGACTTAAATTCTAAGTATTTTTAAGAGATTGAGGAATTCCATATACGATTATTGATAAAGCTAGCTAGATGCTCTTCTGAATACGTATTTAATCATTTCAATTTATTTAAACTTTGGAAAGAAAAATAAATATGTATTTTTGTTATATCCCAATGAGTAGAAAATTTGTATTTCTGACGTTTTGTGACTTGATGTAAGACGCCTCTTCAGAATAAATGAATAACAAATAAATTAACACTTCATTGTATATAACACAAAGATCTACAAAATGGAATTAAAGTCAGGTAATCAGTACCAATAATTAAAATAATGTGAAGGTGGGAAAAAACAATGAATCCTTGAATCATTGTATAATATATAGGCGGTAAGGAATAAATAAATGTTGAAGTTTCAAGATCGTTCTTAAAATTAAGAAGGCTTTAAAACACACTTGTATCTTATGCACATTTAAGGTAAAATTGTAAAATCTTAAAATTATTCAATTATTTTAAATTAGTAAGATATACTACTTGTACCAACATGGAGTCGGATGTTAGTAGTGCCTAACAGGACGACGATATAGAAAAACTGAATACAAATTCCTCCTGTTTATATAAAATCTTATCAGTGGAATACGTGAACATATTCAGTCTATGGATTACCATAGTGCAATCCAATCTGTCATAACAGTGGTCTACGGTCTGCCAACTAGCGTGCGAAGTCCAGTGAACAGCGGATATGCGATTACACACGGGAAAAACGTTAACTCATATACGTGAAGAATAAGAAGCTTACAATGACTTGATAACTATACATGAAAAAACTGTTCTCAAACCTTCAGACTTAGTAAGCGTTTCAGAGACTCTGAAACCCCAATCGAAGAATTAAAGTCATAGCAAGTGTTAGCAGTATTCATAGTCTCCGATGAATAACATACTAGAATATTATACATATTACATACCCTCATCGTTTATAAACTTACGCATATAAGTTTCTCCACGGAATCTCATGACCAAACAAGCAGTTAGAACTCCGATCGCAATTATAACAAGGATACCGATAATCACAGCTGTTATCCAAGATATGTTAGCTGATGCTATATAGGAAAAGGATAGTGAAAAAAAATGTGTAAGGAAACATGTGAAGGAAACGAGAATATCCAATAATAATAATGGGCATTTTAGAAGAAAGAGAAGAATAAAAGGAAGTGCCAACTAACCAGGAGTTGGATCATGATCCACTTGTAGATCCAATGCTGCTGTCATAAGTGGATGGATTTTTACATCATCATGAGAGTCATACACCTTCATATCCGGTTCTAAAAGTCTGGTATCCAGATCTGCAATACGAGAGGTCACATGTGGATAAAAGATACGCCAACGACATGTCACATTCACTTTTCGAAACAATACAGTTAAGGACGGATCATCAACGGGTGTGATTATCAACTAAATAAAAGAACAAATATGTATACAATTTTATCTATATAAACCATACATTCATAAAATATTATTTTATGGCAGTTTTTACCCAAAAATTAATAAATTATTAAAGTCATAATTTAATTTTCTCTTAAAAAATATAAGTATCTATAACACGATATTTTTCTTCTGTTTTAACGCAAAACAACATTCCAACAATCGAAGGTGATGAATACTTGTTAATGTAGGTTGAACGTCGTATAGGCAAACAAAATATTTGAAAATCCAGACAGCCATGGTAAATGCTGAATGGTAAGCTAACTGTCAAAGCTGTTAGGATATTGAAAGAAAATAATCTGCAATTGTTTAATAAAAATATATATTACAACCAGAAAAATAGCGACCGTCATAAATGGAGTTGAAATCCTTTCACATTTACTAATATTAATAAAACCCAAAACGTCTAGTTCTAACGGTCAATTTTTCAGAAAAGAAAGTTGATTTTTCATTTATGTATACATAGAAAACAAATTAAAGTGTCTGATTGGCAACAATTATTTCTGATATCTACACAAAATATAATTTATTTACGATATATCGACAGAATAGAAAATATTTATCTTTTCTCACGAAACAGTATTAGAATACGATATTATGACCGGTGAGAGATTTTGACACCACTAAACTGGATACTCGATTGATGCGCTTTACACAGATATGATCACGCTATATCAGATACTCAATTCATAACCAGTAATGGAGAACTAGATTACATGATAGTCAATACTTTATTCAACGTAATTCATTACAAGCAGGTATACTTAGTAAATCTAAAGTAGACATCAGTGATAGGAAGGAAATCACGAAGTAAATAGTTAGTTGTATCTGTAAATCTACGTTCAGTGGCCAATTACTTCTTACTTCCACTAGCCACTTAAGTTGGGTGGGTATTTCACTAGCCTTACAGTTAGTTTTTGTGGACTATGCTTAAAGCTTATAACAATGGATAAACAATTATCTCTCTATCAAAGCAATTATAAACATTACTGAATTAATTCACCTACTTTTGTGCCTTCTGTTTTAATAAATTTCGACTGTTGATAATCTTTTGTCATTTTCGACACAGAAATACCATTCAATTCCCATGTTTGTACAAAGTAAGTAGACTGATAAGGATCCGTATCGATAACACAATCGAATGTATGTGAAACAGAGTTTAAGCAATCGGTAGTACATGAGTAATCCTTTGGAGCATTTAAGATATTTATTCGGGCTAAAATAGATAATAAATAAAAAGTAATTAATAAAATAACTTCACTGCCGTAAGATCCGAATGTATAAGAATGGCGTTTAAACTAATTTGAGATGAAAGTTTGGTTCATTAATGTTTAATCACTTTCCACATTAAATTATTGTAATTGATTATCAGATCTTATCGCATTATAGTTTGGAGAAATACGAATTACCGAATTCAATAGACGTGCAGAGCGACGTGGTAACAACTCAATCATTCGACTCAAAACTAGTGGGTTTTAGGTTTACTCTACTGATTTTAGTTTCAGTCTTAAAACAATAATGTCAATCTAAGTATAGTAACTAGTCAGCTAGTTTTATTCAGGGATACGTAGAAGAAACTTGTATTATACGGTTGTTTACCTGTCATTTCAATAAAGAAACGATGAATGAACAATTTTTTTAAGTTGGGGAAGACTTTCCTAAAATAAACACTGTGTTAGGTGGTATAGAAGCTTTAGCTAACTTATCGGTACCACTCATCCAAGTATATAAAAAATTTTCATAGTTGAAATCATGAGTCAATTGAAGCTAGACCACCATGGAAAACCTGGAAGCACTGGATATACGAGATAACATTACTAGGGTAATACAAATAACAGTTTGTTACTAAATTCGAATTGCAATATTTGTTGAAAGTAGACTCTTCATTAGACGTTTGGAAAACTCCCTTTATGATTGATCGTAGGGCAGAGAGTGAATTGAATAGATATTTTACGCCACTAAAAATGCTCACCTCGATTAATATGTGCCTTTTCGATAGTGCCCCTTACTAATGGTTACCATTTTGATGGTCGCCCTTATTAATCTGAGCCCTTTTTCACTCGCCCTTATAAGAATTCTGGATAAGAGACGACGATTGCTGTCAACCAAATCAAGAAACGATTTTTCCGAAACTATGATACTTTCGGAATTTTTTATTGTCTAAATGAGTAGAAGCATGCATACACACATATAATCGAAACAATAGTGAAAACACATCAACAACATCCGTATCTTACGTAGTACTCTGACAAGAGTAGATACTCGAGCCAAGCCATATTCATTTTTCCCAACCAAGCTGACAGTATGAGTTGGTCCAATTTTACTACCAGGTGTAAACATCAAATTATAGGCTGAATAAGTTAAAATATGACCATTTCTTTGCAATGGTTGTATCAAAGCATCTTTTAAGTACGGATATTGATCTCTTAGTTCAGTACGAAAATTAGTAGGATTCGGTTGATAAGGTAGGCCATTGATTTCTAAAGACTAAAAAACAACAAAACAATCATCATAAAAATCAATTCAACAGTTGAGAGTGATTTATACACAGAAATTTTATATGTAATGGTCAGTTTTCTAGGTATATATAAAATACTTATACAATGAAAAAGAAAATTACATTGCGTGGTAAAGGAAATTCCCAATTAAGGCTGACAATTACTGGGAACTGAGTATGAAAAACACGATTAGTAAGTTCAATAATCTGACTATATGGTACACCTATCGAAGAGTTAGAACTAATATAACTGGACTACAAAGAAATTCTGATTTGAATTGTCTAATACGTAAGAACTGAGGGTGGGGAGAGTCTGCTTTCCTTCTCCAAATGCTCTCACATGGCTTCGTGTATACCACGCCAATACCAGGGAAGTCTTACTCAATGCATTCTAGCAGCGTTGTTTACGACATTGAGAGGACGAAAAGCGAATGTCCGGTGCTTTGACCAATTTGGTAGGTAAGGAGGATCCACCTGGGAGAGTTGGAAAACCCTAATTCCAAACCAATTGTACATATGAGCTCCAGCATCCTGAGGGGACAAATGGTGTGTGAACCTATTGTTAGTAACCGGTTACCATGAGACCGCATCTCCTAACTTTGCTCCACTGCTTTATGAATTAGACCTCTAAGTAAGAAACTTAAGGTGTGGCCATTTAAGAAAATCACCTGCTTCAGTTTGGGCACCCAAGCAGTATCTTAACTCACAAACAAATTGAATGAGGATTACTATTGTTAAAATTACTCTTGAATCGTATTCACAATAATTTGGTAACATCCATTTTTATTTCTTCTGTACTACCTCAATTATCTACCGCTTTTACTCTTATTTTGTGTATTTTATATTTGAATCACGTATATCATTCAAACTGGCCTCCTTCAACGTCCACACACTACTGCAGATCGGACAACAGATACGGTTGGGAATGTCTTTACAAAGTCTCAATATCAATGTCTCTTGCCAATCCGAGACCCATATTCAAGACTATAGTGAAGTAATACAAACTCGTTCTTCATATGTCGCTTCAAAAAGCTTGTTTCACGTATGTTTATCCTGGTATCTTTATCTGGTCTTGCCGGGGTCGGTGCATCACTAAGCGCTAGGGTTGAGGCAACAATGATCGACTGAACCTCATTAATGTCGGTTATTTTCTGTTAAATTAGAAAGTTCCATCAAAGTGAGGGGAAATCAGTAGGAGAAACGATATCTTTTCGCCATCTACGCCTACGCTACGACAGATTGCAGCTCGGATGTGACTCAGAATGAGTTTTATCACCAGTTACCTGTTCTACAGAAAGTACATTCGACAGATATTGTAGTATTAGCTGGAGACTTGAATGCTCAGGTCGAGCGGATAGGCACAGAAGGGAGTCGTTTAGGTAGTCGGTGGGGACTTATCGGTCGCAGGTCAGATAACGATGACCGGCTACTACAACTTTGCACAGACTACAACCTGTTACTGGCTAGCACTGACTACCAGCACAGTCATCGCAGATGTGCCACCTGGCGTTCTCTCTCTGCATCTCAAGCCTGGACTCAGTTTGTTTACTCGCGATCAGCTACCACTGGAGTGGTTGTGTAAAAGACTGCTGCTCCTTTTGGAGTACCTATCTGGACTCTGATCACTCCCTTGTTTGTGGCCGACAAATCCATCGTCCTAAACGAATCGATGCCAGTAAATTGGTTGCAGCTTCTGATGCGACTAAATATCAAACCGAGCTAGGTTCAGGGCTACCTACCAGCCCACTGAACAGCATAGACGAGCATTGGCTGCAGTTGCATGATGTCATGAAAATGGCGAGTTAAGTCGCCTACGGCTTTGTGAAATGTCCCGCTTATAACCACTGGGTTTTTACAGGTTCTTTACAAATCACCATCCCCTACGACTTTGCCATCGATGACGTTCTCGAAACAGATCTGATGAATCTAGGTAATGGTGGTGGGGATCTGTTGCCTGGAGAAAGACTTCTAGACCTTGAGTATGCGGACAATATTGTCTTACTGTGCGATGATACCCAAACCATGCAATCCACACTTAGTCAGTTGGCAATCAGTGTCCGTAGATATGGTATGTGCTTTACACCTTAGAAGTGCAAAGTACTTCTACAAGACTGGCATAACCCTGAACATGCACTCACATTGAGTAGAGGGCAGATGGTAGTCAAGAGGTTCGAGTATCTGGATAACTGTATAAGTGCTGGTGGTGGTGCGAGTGAATGATTAGATCAATTCATGTATAGTGAAAGCTAGAGAGGCTTATGCCAATCTGAGCCATCTTTGGTGCCTTCGTGGTGTTAGTCTGGCTCTAAAAGGTTGAACCCACAAACCGTCGGTGAGAGCAGTTTTGCACTATGCTCGTGAAACCTGGACTCCGAGTTGAGGATGTTAGACGACGCGCTATGCTTGATCATCGTTGTCTCCGAAGGGTTGCCGACATCCAGTGGCAACACCACGTTAGTAATGCACAGGTTAGGCATTGTGTGTTCAGGCACAGCGACAATAATTCAATTGGTTTTATCATTTTGAGACATTGACTTCGGATATGTCTTACGAATGTCGTCCCAGATAATTCCACGTCGTGCACTATTTGCCGACATTGAGACTGGTTGGAAAAATAGAAGAGGTGGTCAGTGTATGACATGGTGTTTTGGTTTGAAAGAAAGTTGTACAGTACTGGCTTCTATTGATCTTTCACGACTCCCTGGTTGTGGTCCTAAAGATGGTGCAACACTGGGCTGGAGATGTTATCAAAAATGGCTCAGAATAGAAAACAGTGGCGATCCTGATGTGACTTTTACTTTCTTCATAAAATTGAACGTAATCTCTTTAACTGAAAGAATTCTTTCTAGTTGTATCTTTGCTAACTGAACTGCTTCTCCCATTATTATTATTATTATTATTATTATTATTATTATTATTATTATTATTATTATTATTATCATTTCACTCTCATACACTAATTTCTGCTCGTTATTGTTCTTTCTATTTTACACACTTTACATTACCTATTTCTTCACAACATTATTGTTATTGTGTGATGCATATGTATTTGGTGCCCCCCTTGTACCAATGTTTATATGTTCAAATAAAGAAAAAGATGAGTCAAATGACTGTCAGTCAGTCAGTCAGCTACAACGTAGGACCAGGCACACATATGCATCGGTCCCAGTTGCCATATCTCGTTAGCACAACAAGATGAACACCGGATTCATAGAAATAGTTAATTTAGTGGTGGTAGTATATAAAAGATAGGTTGTATATAAGGATATAGTATAGGAAGAAAGAACGTTATGAAGCAGTTTTAATCTTAAGGTTTAAGGGAAGATAAAGAGTGTATACACCTACGCCATTGTGATCGATTCTGAGCCATGTCACCTAGAGTCTCCAACCATTGGTTACGATAGTCACGCGGACCCCAACCAGGTAGTCTGCATCTGCCAACATGGCTCAGACTAGAAGTTAGTGACTTCAAGCACGACCGTTGCTGCTACCTTGACGTGGTGGTCGGGCTTGCCTATCGTGATGAACCAATCGAGCTATACTGGCTGGAACAATCGTTCCTCAAGGTCCTACCATGCCAGACAGGTCGGTTGAAGAGCGGTAAGACTAAAAGCAGTAAACCCAAGGTCCGAAGGCGAAGTCGTACTGCTGACTGTTTTGAGCTCCAGATGCTTTTCAGTCGTAGGTATGCTGCTCTTGCTTTGCTGATCCTCACCCTCACATCTGCATCTGATCCACCGTGTTCATCAATGATGCTGCCCAGATATGTAAAGGTTTCCACATCCTCCAAAGCTTCTCCGTCAAGTGTAATTTGATTGGTGCATATTGTATTGTATCGAAGAGTCTTGCATTTCTCTTTGTTTATATTGAGACCTACTGCTGCTGAGGCTGCTGCTACACTGGTCGTTTTCTCCTGCATTTGTTGTTGCGTTTGTGATAGAAGAGCCAGATCATCCGCGAAGTCTAGATCGTCAAGTTGCATCCTGCCTGTCCACTGTATCCCGTGATTTCCTCCAGATGTTCACGTCTTCATGATCCAGTCGATGACCAGGAGAAAGAGAAAGGGTGAGAGTAAGCAACCTTGCCTAACACCGGTCTTTACTTGAAACGAGTCGGTGAGTTGTCCTCCGTGGACGATTTGGCAGTTTAGTCCATCATAGGAGTTCCGTATGATATTTACTATCTTCTCAGGCACGCCGTAGTGTCGAAGAAGCTTCCATAGTGTCGTCCTGTCCACGCTATCAAATGCCTTCTCGTAGTCGATGAAGTTGATGTAGAGTGATGAATTCCATTCGATTGATTTTTCCACAATGATCCGCAGAGTTGCGATTTGATCTGTGCACGATCTATCCTTACGAAATCCAGCTTGTTGATCTCGAAGTTGGGCGCCCACAGAATCCTTCATCCTGTTTAACAATACCCTGTTGAAGACTTTTCCTGGTATTGAGAGAAGAGTGATGCCCCTGTAGTTGTCGCACTTGCTCAGATCGCCTTTCTTTGGTATCTTGATCAGAAGTCCTTTTTTCCAGTCTGTTGGTACTTGTTCTTCGTCCCAAATCTCACTGGAGAGGATGTGGAGTATCTTTGCAGTTGCTGCTACATCTGCTTCCAGTGCCTCTGCCGGGATGTTGTCTGGTCCCGCTGCTTTGCCACTCTTGACTTGTCTAATGGCCATGCTGATCTCTTCAATTGTTGGTGGGCCAATATCGATTGGGAGGTCCGTGGGTGCTGCTTCGATGTTGGGTGGGTTCAGTGGAGCTGGTCGATTCAAGAGTTCTTTGAAGTGTTCTACCCACCTGTTTCGTTGTTCTTCAATGTCGGTGATTACTTTGCCTTCCTTGCTTTTCACTGGTCTTTCTGGCTTACGGTAATTTCCAGCAAGTTTCTTTGTTGTATCATACAGTTGTCTCATGTTTCCCTCTCTTGTAGCCTTTTCCACTGTCGTTGCTAAATCTTCAACATATTTACGTTTGTCGGTTCTGATGCTCCTCTTCACTTGCTTGTTTGCCTCTGTGTATTCGGCTTGTGCCTTGGCTTTTTCCGCTCTGGTTCGGCTGATATTAATTGCTGTCTTCTTGCTCCTCCTTTCTTCAATCTTATCCAGTGTACCAACAGTGATCCATTCCTTGTGATGGTGCTTCTTTTGGCCCAGAACCTCTTGACACGTTGAAACTATTGCCTCCTTGATACCTTTCCAGTTGCTCTCCATGGTAGTCCCCTCTCCATTGAGTAGGTCATGAAAGGCCTCGAACCTGTTGCTGAGGGCTATGTTGAATTTGTTGAGTTTGTCAGCATCTCGAAGAAAGGCCGTATTAAACTTTTGTGATGTTGTCCGCGCCGTTGTCCACTGCTTCTTGAGTTTTAGTTTCACCTTGGCGACCAGCAAATGATGATCGGATGCTATATCAGCTCCTCTTCTGGTTCTCACATCCTCTATCGTGCTCCTGAACTTTTTGTTGATGCAGATATGGTCGATTTGATTCTGTGTAGTGTGATCCGGTGAAATCCAAGTGGCTTTGTGTATGTTTTTGTGTGAGAATATGGTGCCACCTATGACCAGTTTATTGAAGGCACATAGGTTTGCAAATCTCTCACCATTTTCGTTCCTTTCTCCCAGTCCATGTTGTCCCATGACGTCTTCGTATCCAGTGTTGTCCATTCCAACCTTAGCATTGAGATCTCCCATCAGAATTGTCAGGTCCTTGGTTGGGCACTTCTCGACGATTGACTGCAGCCTATCGTAGAATTGGTCTTTAGCGTCTTCATCGTAGTCATTGGTAGGCGCATAGCATTGGATGACGTTCATTGTAGTGCCCTCTCTTTGTTTTGAAGGAGGCTTTAATGATCCTTGGTCCATGAGATTCCCATCCTATAAGTGCATTTTGTGCTTTTCTGGACAGCATCAATGCAACTCCTTGTGTATGTGGGGCATTTTCTTCTTCATGACCGGAGTATAACAGAAGTTCTCCTGAAGACAGTCGTTGTTGTCCAACCTGCGTCCAATGTGTTTCGCTGATCCCAAGAACCTCCAGGTTGTATTTTCTCATTTCTGCAGCAATTTGGAAAACTCTTCCGGTCTCCCACATTGTTCGGACATTCCATGTACCTATAAAAATTGTCGCTCTGGTTGTAAGAAGGTGCATCGGCCTCATGACTTCCGAAGGAACACGGCTTTCATCATGAGACGTCATAATTATTCCTTCCACTCCCAGGGCAGAGTTTGAAAGGTTTGAATGATTTTTTCTGGTTAGCGTTTTTTTAGCGAGTTAGCTTTTCTACGGGATGGGGTCGCTAACCCCATGCCCAACCCTCCTCCTTTACCCGGGCTTGGGACCGGCAGTAACCCCCAGAGGAGCTACAGCTGCACGAAAAAAAATCAACTTTATATAAGATTATTACTCTATGTTAACGATTTACCAATATCTAAATAAAGATTTTACCTCGTGTTCAAAAAATGTTGTTCTACCCGTAAGGTCGGCATAAAATATGATGGATACACAAATGCCAACGCAATAAAATCAGTTCTATAGTTAAGACCTTAAGTATGAATTATTCTACATAAAAGAACATATATCGTAAGTAAATTACCTCCGTTATAAACGAATCCAACTGACAGCTAAATGTAACATTTTCTCCCTCCATTACTAAAAGTAAAGGTGGAGGAGCACGTATAACTTCAGGTGGACCAACCACACTCACTAAGAATTGAAAATTAACTTGATCATATCCATTTTCCACAAGTAAATTGTAAGTCCCTTAAGAAAACAAGCAAAAACAACAAATAATACAACGACTATTTTGTATGTTTTCACAAAGATAGTTAACAGTGTTTAATTTTAATTCAAAGGAAAATTAACTTTGCATGACTTTGAATATACTTACCAGACCGATAGAAGGAAACAAAAGCAGAGAAGTTAGCTTATCAAAAATAAGACTGAGGGAACTAGTGGCAATCAAGTAAACAAATCTAACTTTATACATGAACGGCAAGCGTTTGATTGTCTTTCGCTTGAGTATAAATTTAGTGGATGAAGTATAAAAACAGATACGTACATACATACAGGAGTGAATATGAGATTAAAACGAAACAATAAGTAGATAGAAAAGATTAAGTAACTGTCCAAACAAAAGCTGTTAGTAAATTAGTAAGAATCTGGTTATTGGACAGGCTAACATCATAAGTATTAGTATATTTAGACAGCCTCAAAAAAAATCAAAATATGGTAAGTAACGAATGAAGTTCAAATAACATATGTCTTAAAATATTTTTCATACTTAGTTACTAAAGATGCTGACCAACGAAACTAAATTAAGTTATTGCGTGTGAAAATATAGATAGAATGAGGCACTTCTGAATGTATTGTCTTAGGTTATCGTGATGGTTGGAGATATGCTCGATACATTGTTAATTACACTTCACACGCTTAAGTCCCTCGGATGTCCTTTCAAACCTTTACTCAAGAATCAAATGTTTATATTTATAGGAAGTTGTTAACATCTACTGTTAAAAGTTTGGCTGTACAATACATAAGTTAGTGTAATCCCATATTACGTCTCACATAATCGCCTTTTCCTGACTTTTTTCACGATATTTTTCTGTTCGATCGCTGATGTATCAGAAAGATTGCTTCCAATCGATCCGTAGACTATTAAAATAATATCAATATAACATGGTCAATCAAAAGCTAAATTTATCCCTATGAAAAGTAGTACTATGTTCAGTAAGTATAAAAAATGTTGAAAACCATCCAAGTACATTAACATCAACTAGGAAACGAAACATAAAAACAGATACAGAAACTTGAATAATCCCTGTGAGAGTAAAACAATTTCGTAATAACCTGACAAAACAGAACTAATGAGAGGTAAAACCATATAGAAAAATTAGAAAACTAATTAATAAAACTACTTGAATAAGTAATCCTTCCCAAAACATTAGCCTAATTTCATTCCAATAGATTTACCAGTTTTGGACAATTGGAACATAAACAAACAAACAAACTGAATATAATAAACAACTAGCAGTCATTCATCACAAAAAAGCCTTGAAACATACCAGAGTGCTCTCGGCGGATGAAATCAGGAAACTTTAATAGATAATCATTATGTCCTGGAAAATTAGATGGAATTCTTTTGCCGTCTTTGGTCCATTTGACAATCGTGTGCTCTGGATTAGATCGATACTTAGTCATTAACTTGAGACCAGTTTGCTACAATTTTAAGAAATGAAAGGGTTTGAAGTGGGGATTTTATCAGACTAATAGCGACACATAAACTTAAAGACTCTCGGTGACGTAAAGGAAAATATTGATATAAATATATGTCAGAGACCTTTATACTATAGGAAAGTCCCGATCGCCTGTAAAAACGATTGATATGGAGGTCAAATATTAGGTCAATCAATCAAAACGTAAGTCCATTAGCTGACTAGTGACTTGCAAGGGTCTTTGTACATCAACTAATTGCACATTAAAGTGAGCATGTATACTACCCATATACACTTTTTTAAATAAGTATCTGATATCACGCCCGTGAATTAGACTAACATTTAGACCTTAATTAATTGAAGAGTAAATAACTTATAAACTGATTCTCTCCAATCACTTATTACATTTTATTATTTCATTTTTTTGTGCCATTATTTAGTATAGAAGCCTAACATCATGCCAGGAGGCTTAAGACAATATTTAATCCGCCTGGGCCACCATCACTTCGCAACGCTTCTTATCATTGGGCACCGCCAGTCAACTAGCATTTTAATCATTTATTTTAATAATCGAAAATTGGTCTCACCAAATAATTAAAATTCTACTCCATAAAAGAATCACATTACGAAATATGGTTTGCTACCATTTTCAGAGCATTTTATACTGGTATTGTACGTAAACGATTTGTATTCAGTTATACCGGTTTTGGGTAACTTTCTGACTTGGTTTTTAATTCAAACAGATAGTGCTTTACTAAATAAATAAGCAATATGATATCTCACAGGATACATGAATGCCTGCTACACATACTAGTACGTGGTAGGTTACTGAGTTAAAACACTATTCTTCGTCTCATATTTTCGTAGGAAATAATACATGACTGGATCTGTTCTTTATGTAACTAATATTGAACGAATTGATACTTTTCTATTTCTCGTGTTGAGTTGTCTTTTGATTTTGATTTTGCTTATTTACTAATGTGATGATTACAATTACCTAAAACATTTAACTTGAACCAACAAACTAATAAACTTGAATTGTTTTTGTGTCTAGTTCCATTAAAAGTACACAAAACTGGTAATGATTTCCCACTTTTGTGAAATGTTATAATATAAGTTTGATGTTTATTTTGTAGTGAAGCAAAAAAACTTCCTTAATCACTGATCTTTGTTAGGTTGTTTAAAGTATGACTGAGTTACGTAGCATAAAGTTGAGAAAAAGAGAAGCTAATCCGAAGTATACATCACAACTACTGTCATTGATGCAATCGCAGCGACCACCATAAATATTCAGTGAAAAATATTACAAACAAGTCACATAAATATGAATTGCTAGGCACATGCTGTCAGAATATAAACTAGTAGATATAAGAATACATGCCCTATACTCACTGGTCCAATTCGAACAGTAATCCTTTGTGTGAGGGGTGATAACACAGTAATTCCACTACCAACGAATGGTATATTGGAGTCATAAGTCAACAATTTAGGCCGCTCATTTGAACCACCAAAATAGGTAGAATAAACAGCTGAGGAATCCAAGTGGCTCCAGCACACCAAACCCATGTCTTTCCAAGCTGACGCTGTGCGCTTGTATAATACCAAAGTACCTGATGGAGAAAGGAATACAATCAATCTTAAGTGGCTGATAGGGAAATAAAAGCTAATTAATTAATTTATACATAAGAAACCAAATCAAAGAGATTATCTATTCCTTTTTTCAAATATTACAAAGGTGAATATGGGTAAATCGTAAAATTCTGCTAGATGAATGTTATTTACCTAGTAAGATATAGTTTAATTAGTAGTCTTTCAGTGTACTCTTTAGCAACTAAATCAACCTCGATTTGTAGACGGGCAGAAAATTCGTTAGTTGGCTTTTTTTTCTTATAGCTACAATTTATTCTTATGTTTATTTAGGCGTCATAAACTCACAAATAAATTAACCCTAATGAATGCCCGTTTCAGTCTACAAATTTCTAGTCAATAAGACAGAAAATAACAGCTATTTTTATAATAGTTCACAACATAAGTAAAAAGGGATGAAGCTTACCATTCGGAGAGACATAACTTTCGAAATAATTTGTAACATGAATGGATGTTTGACGAACTCTACGCATGCAGCCAGCAGATTGTATACCATCAGGACTGTCTACATCACAAAATGACCACATAAATGGACTGGGGAATGCTGCATCAGCCCAACTTGGTAACGCCTCAGATACTTTAGTTTGTCCACATTCCAGACTCAAGGGAAGATCATTGATAGATAAAGGTGGCAAATACTCAGTTTGCTTTACAGGTCGTCTAACCATACCTATGAATATGGCAGGAAAATATAAGGCAAGAAATTGTCAAAAGCACTTTTAGGAATGAAAATAAGAGGATGAAACATGATGTATGACTAACGAAAGCCGTACAGTGATCTGCACTGACCACGTAGATGTCGTTTGTTTGGATTACTCATACTTGGGGGCTCTGTCGAGGCAGATTACTGAACCAACAAAATCCCATAAACTGTTTCTACTCTTTGACAAAGGTAGTTATTTTTTACAGTTAACCAGAGATTATGACAGGCCTCCTTCGGGTGAAAATAACTTTAGTTTTATTGAGTAGCATAAATACATTCATGAAATTCCTATTTTCAAACTTAGCTTAAGGTATCCTAGTTCTATTTATTTCTACATTCACCGATTAACAGATGGAAACGTGCTCGTACTAGAGCACTGAAATGTGACTTATATTAGTAGTATTGAACTAATAACTTATTCATAGTAGATATAGACCTAGAATGTCTAAACTTTTGGTACTATACGTGCCAAGAAAATCAGATATCGGAGACTGAAGATACTGCATTTCGAAAAGCTGGCTTAGAAAGAGCAATAACGTTTGCTCTTTGTTGTGAGTCTCCCACTCAACTTCCTTAATGTTAAGTTTGGAAGATTTAAGCACTATGATTAAAGGGCTGACTTCATAGTCAAATGACGTTTATGGGTACTAGTTGTATAAAGATTACTGGTTATACCTGACTACCTGAATCTTGGTGTGAAAAAATGGTTGTGTGGTTAAAGGGGTTGGTTTTCAACCAGCAGATTGCAGATTCCAATCCCGCTCCATTTTGTCGGTCCGGGCAACCGGGTTAACATCACTAGGTCCCCAATTGTACTTAAAAGTCGAGTGCACAAACATATACTTACCGATTGAGTCACATGTGGGGCAATTAGGTGATCGCATCTGTATGGATGAAAGTCCGTTTATTCTAAGATGAGACTACTAACCACATTGGAAAAAAATGATACTAATCAATGGTTGGAAACCTTAAGTGGGATAACTTTAAATTAGCAGCAATAGTGCAGATTTATTTATGGCTTGCCTTTCTCTGAAAATTATTTTGATATTATTTCATACGTTTTATTCTATTTTACTTTGATTCGAACTACATTTGCTAGTTCCAATTTTTGAGTAACACGACTGAAAATTAGTCGCAGTGAAAGAGATGGATTTATTCTTTGTCTTCAACATTGTTTTGTACTTTTGTCCATCGGATTGACCCCTTTTCGGACCGCATTCCTATGGATCCCAACGTCTTTCGAACTTTTCCTCGATTCATTTAGTTTCGTTTTGCGGTACTGACGAGGCGCAGTAACTTTTGCCGATGCACTATGTTGTCTATGTTGATTATAACTAAATGATTAATGTGTAATTTTTTACTATCATAAACATTGTTATTCCTTTGACAATTTCTTCAACCTGTGTTATGTGTCGTGACAATTTGGATTAATATTCACCGCATTTTGTATACTATGAATAACCACTTGATATTTGACTTACCATAAACAATAAAATACTACTCGGACTAAATTGGTAGAACGAGACTTACGTTTGTGATAGTAATACGCATCCTGTATTTCAATAAAATTTGAAATTAGCTCTCCATTTCGGTTATGATACTTGCAGAAGTAAAAGCCGTCAAGCAGTTCATCTTTAACAGGCAGCCTAGAAGAAAACGTGTAGCCTGTAACAAATAGTTAACACCCAATAAACAAATACCTGCAGATCTATTGCCATTAGCACTAAACTCAACCCGGCCGAAAATAACATTTCTTGTTTTAGGATCAATGCATTCATCTGAATCGTGCGTAGACTTCTAGAATAATCCATAAAATAAGTGGTTCATCAACAAAATAGCACATAAATCGAAGCTAGGTAAACAAATGCGTACAGGTTAGAACACTTCCAAATATAAAATAACGATGACCAAGTAAGAGGAACATTTCTGTGACTTACTTTTGAAACCCATATTTACAAAACAAGACGCGGGGGAAACTGTACAGTACGCTTGGTTTTTCAAAACATGATCGAGGAAATTACCTGACACAAATAGTTAGCATTCCTATAAGTGACATGAATTGATCGACGGTATATCAAGAATTACTGATTAGACTTCTAAAATACATGAAGCAGTCAACACTAAAAAGATTGGTTTACCAACTAAACTATGTACCAAGACTAATTCAAAACAACAGATTAGTATACCACATAATTTGGAGTTCGTTGAGCTTTAACTCACTCGAATGTTTATTTATTTAATATAGGGTGGACATGATATATACTGTCGAACGACCTTGATGTCTTAACCTGTTTTATCCTGTCAGGAAAATAGAAAAGATAAGTGAACGAGTTATAATCCCAGGACTAAGAAATGGGATATGGATTATAGAAAGTTTACATTATTGCTGGTATCAGTTCTTAATGAAAACCTCGATTCCAACCCCTGAGTGCCACGACCTTGAAGCTGATTTCTCTTTCTTGATATCAATCCTAATACATTTGTTAATGTTAGGAAGCTTGTGCTGTTATTTGGAGTAAACTAAACTCAGCTTTCATATACAGGGAACCACAAACTGTAAAGACCTACAGTACTCGGAAGCAGTTTTAGGACTAACGATAGTCAAAAACCCCAACTATCTGCAATATAATCAAAATTCATGTAAAAGAACAGTTCAAGTTGTAATCAATTCTGACTAATTTTACTACGCACATCTACAGCTCAGAAAATTTGATAGGAAATTGTTAACAAAATCGTATTCAGCCAAGGTAACGTGCAACTTATGTCTGAGTGAACAGTCCTACAGATTCTGTAGGGCATGTTAGATAAAGAGCATGAGAAACGGAATAAGCAGAGTAGACAGAAGACTGTAACAAGAAATAAAGGTGGCAATTATGACACACGGTCTTTTTTACGGAGCTAAACTTATTTAAAATACATAAAAAGCTGATTATTAGCATATTTCATGGTTAACTTGTGCTTCCTAGCATACAATATACGGTTGACAGCTAGTACATAAACCGGGATGGAAATCAGACACCTCATATATTTACAATTCAGCCACAAAAAAACAAACACGGTTAGAATATGAACGCTAATAAACTCTACAACATATTAAATTAATAATTCGAAATGGTAAATTACCCTGCGACATAAGTAAGCGGAGACGAGTTCATGAGTCGAATCGAGTGGAGCAACAATGCAATGGATTCTTAGCACAGGAAGCTCGTTCAGATGTTCGACAATCCTGATACGAACCTGCTGTTTAATAGTGGCATCTATTTCAATGAGATTTCTCAGACCAGGATGTTCATAGAAATAGGTGTCATGTCTAACTCCATTAACAGGGATGAATTGCAAGTATTGTTCTCTAGTGGATGCACCTTAAAGAAAATTTCAAATGATGGTCTTTCAATTACCATATGGTGTTTCAAAGACAAATACAATCAACCAAAGCACGAGCAACATCATGAGACGGAAAGGCACAAGGCCTTCTTAATGGCTCTGAATAACCGCCGCAAGTGAAGGTTGAATTACAGCAATAATAACCTGCAGACTAAATATTTTGACCGTTCCCAACACAACTATGGTAAAAAAGGATAATGACTTTATGTTGATTCTATACTATTTTTATTAATATTGATAAGTCGTATTTCAAAGAAAGCCCATCAGTTTGTAGATCACCACAGTAGACTGTCTGTGTCGAATGATTAAGAGCGTACTCGTGTTAGACCAACCAGTTAACATCGAAGTCCAACCTTGCGGACAGTGGCTAACGCGGATTACCCTTTCGTCTTATCTAGGTACTTTGGCTGCTTTGAAGATCGTACGACACAAACGATTACTACAGAAATATATGAACGCCGCGAGTTTACCTAATAAAATGGGTGAGTTGCATGAACTCAGTAATGTTAATAATGCTTATCTGATAGGAATATCTGAAATGGCCTGACCAATAACGACATCGACGTCGTTAACCTTCCGGCTGAACAGTACTCTCGGGCATTTCAACCAACCCACGTTAACTATATCGATGAGAGCTTCACCTGCAACTTCACATGACTTTCCAAAGTAAATCTGAACGCTGATATGGTGTATCGAAGACTGCTGCACCTGAACAAGGACACCTCCTGGTCCGAATATGGTTCGTTCTGCCATAGTGAGGGAAGCAGCTTCAATGTTGGCAACACCACCTGGCGTGATGTTCTCATTCTAGTTAAGCCAAGGCGAATTACCAGAAGTTTGAAAGCTGCCTCATATTACACCAATTTTCAAGGAGGGTCGACGAAGCGAACCTTCAAGCTACCGATCTATACCGCTTCTCTCTATACCTTCAAAAATTATGGAGTCTCCAATATGCGACGGCATATACGACTAATTATCATCCTTAAACTTCTTTCCACCACGACAGCATGGCTCCAGGGAGGGCCACTCTTGTATAACCAACCTGCTGACTGCGGTGGACAGATGAACAAGCATCCTTGACTGCAAGGGGAAGGTTGACAACCTTTACTTTGATTTCTAAAAAGTTTTTGGTAGGGTCAAGCATATTTGTCTTATCAACAAGCCCAAACGATTGGGTATAAAATCACCTTTACTTGATTGCCTTGCTTCGTATCTGAAAAACCGGCACTTTAAGGTCTGTATTAACTTCACCTTCTCTCAGACTGCGGAATGTCCTAGTGGGGTCCTCCAGGGTTCAGTACTAGGACCTCTTCTTTTCTTGATTTCTATAAGCGATCTTCCAGAACAGGTATCATTTGACTTAATCATTTTTGCTGATGACGTGAAACGTTGGAGAGAGATACGCAACCAAGGGGATATACTGGCACTTCCGGAGGATCTGACTCGACTTCGAAGTTATGCAGATGACAATGGACTTACCTTTAACACTTCAAACGGTAAAGCAGCCCATCTGAGACATGTTGCATGCTACAGTTAAAACTTAGGTAACTCACCTCTAGAAGTTTCCCAAGTTGAAAAAGATTTAGGAGTGCTGGTACCTTACGATTTGAAGTTTTACGCTAACTGTGACAAAAACGCATTTCAAGCAGACCTTGAACTAGCAACATTGGAGCGCATTTCTGGCCAGTTTGACGGTAGAACCTTCCACATGATCTTCAACAGTTTTATTCGTCCCCATTTAGAATACGGAAACATTTCCTCCCCCACTGCAGAAAGATAAGGACACTCTGGAGCGTATCCAACGGCGAGACACGAAATCAGTTTGGGGATTAAAATTCAAGCCTCATGAAGAGCGCCTCCAATCACTAAACCTTTAACCACTTGAGTACAGGCGTCTTAGAGGTGGCCTTCTAATGGCTTACAGTATCCTTAACATTTCTGGCCATCCCCTTTAAAGATCTATTTAAGCTTAGTGACAATATTAACCCAAGGGGTAACACCCAGAGACTGGAGACTCAACATAGTAGAACAGACTGTAGACACAACTTCTACTCCTTAAGAGTAGTTAAATGCTGTAATTCGCTGCTGACTGAGCTAGTTCAAGTGACTTCCCAGGAGTCCTTTAAGGGGAAACATGACCTATTCTTGGGGACTAAGGATAACATCTTATTATGATTTACCAACTTCTTTTTCTTCTTTTATCAGTAATTTACTTGTGTTTCTGTCCGAAGGTATCGGTGATACACTGCTACTAGATACGGAAGCCCATTAAGCGAAAGCGAAACACACTGCGACCACCGCCGCATGGGTCAATTGATGGCCTGCAATTAACCGATGTGCGTCAATTGTCATTGATTTCGACGAGGATCGGCGAACTGTTTGATATTAAGCAACTCGACTGCCAGTCTTTTTAACATATTCTTGTAGCGCAAATAATGTGTTCATTATCCATCGATTATCTGTGAGTATTGATGAAGTTGTAAAGCAGGATGGTAAACCAGTAGTCTGTATTCGCCGCGAACTCACTGTTGCTAAATAGTTTTGTTCTCAAACCCAGTAGGAGGCATTAGATATACTTTGAGTTGTTAAAAACTCAACAAACAATTATTTGTAAAGGGATTTACTGTTGCCACGGATGATTAAACTTTAAAATCCGTTAAACATCCTGGGAGATTATTAGCCAGTTCCTCAGATGCTGTGGTTAGCAAGTGATTTACTTCTTTTAGTGGCTGTGGAGATACTATACAGTGAAGGAAGCCTAAACAAATCATATATGTAAACTATATATCGATAATGATTACGAGATGAATCTGAGGATATTTCAGTTTGCTTACAAATGCAGACTTTATCGTTAGGCCATTCCAATCTTCCATGAGAAATTCGTTCATATCTCGGATGCACACTAAGCACCAGGCGAAAATGTTAGAACTTTTGCCAAGCGTAACCAATTAGTTGATGATGCTTTATGCCTAAATAATCTTACTTTTATCTCTCAGTATATAAATGAGTGCTTGACTACGTCCGTAGTGGAAATCCGGATGTTGAAACAATGAAGTCTTCAGCAAGACTCAGAAACCTTATGAAGATCATTGTGGTCCATTTCTCAGAGATTATTATGCGATTTTAAACACTGATCCTGACCAGCAAGAAATGATAGTGAGGGCAATGGCTTTAAACCATCCATGTTTGTAGTGCAGAACATTTCGTTTTTATTGGGCTCTTGATGATTGAGAACGAAGCAATCAGTGAGTGATATTGAGGTTGATCTCCCACGCTCACTATTCAGACTCATACTTCCGATTTTATGATGGAATGGCTACTCTACTAAAACAACTTATAACGTGCTAACTCGGAATTTGACATTTGGATCCAGTAGCAGGCATCAGATGAAAAAAAGAAAACCAAAAGTAGTTCAGACAATAAAAGGTATAGCTAATAGTGTTTCTTAACAATTCGCTCTCCTGATGCGCTTTCCATTCTAATAAATGGCCTTCTTTTTTCTAACTTCGACTTCCCTTCCATCATTTGAACCTACTCCACCATGTTGAATGTCACAACTCATTGTTCTTTATTACTGCATTCTCCTATCTAGAGGCTCTAACCACATGTTACCTTAGAAACAGGAGCCAGTATGAGGTTAGTCTATCAATTTGTCATACCTCTGTCTATTCCACTACAAACTTAAACATTGTTCAGCGTTTGTATCCAAGTACGTCGCTGCTCATTTGTTGCTCCTTTTTCCAGCATCATGCTCGCATGGTACAGCTATTGAGCTTTTGACTCCTGAAACCGACATGACGTACATGGTTTTTCAAAGCCACACCCCGTACCATGCCCTATACAAATTTAGTTTATACCAACTGTAGGCTTAAAAAGTTTTGTTATATCAAAACTTAGCACGACCAGGACTTTAACACAACAATGCTGGGTTTGAAGTTGGTGTCATCGTGACCGTAACGTCATTTTGGAAGAATATTTTAAAGACTACACTTAATGCAATACCAAAACATAAGGCTAACCATTAACTCTCCAGGACATCTGCGCGAATGTACTATCTTCTATTTTTATTGGATTCATTTATTTAATAACCCTACTTCGGAAACATACTATAAGCAACCCAATGTTATAACTTATAGCTCATGTCTTTAAAAGTGATATGTACTTGCCCTGGCATAAATACATAATTATTATTACTCATACGTTCACGTCATTCTCACTTCAAAATCCGAACATTAAGAAGTTAAGAAGCATTTAGTGTTCAGTCCAGAGAAAGTTCCTGTAGTATGGGTAGCTGATGATGATTCGTATTTCGACTCAGATTCAGATACCGTCCAGTTAAACCGTATATGGTTCAATCATCATTTCACTCATCACAGACACCCTCGCTCGAGTGGTGAGGCAGAAAAGTCAGTCAGAATGTCGAAAATTGCAACTAACTCTTTATAATACATGACTAGATAAACTGAGTAGGTGAGTAGAGGCTTTACTACTCCAGTCCACAAAGACTATTATGATAATTAATAGTCAGATTAATGTGTCAACCGAAAATTCTTGAAATAGTGTAACTTAAGGCAGGCAGAGCTAGATGGGCATGAATGAACGTGTTAAATTTGTGATTCTTAATCAGCAACAAATAAGCACAAAATAATCGCTAGTTCGTACAAATACCACGACCATGCGCTCCATCACAAAAAGAACATCAAGATTACTGCAAGGAAGGATTCTACTTCTGAGTATAAAGTGCTTAGGACAGCAAAAGTTACCTATTGTTATGAGAATGACCGTCAGACGTCCATGGCGATTTCGGTAGAAAATGTTAGAAGACCTATGGTGTGAATCCAAGATTCTACGGAGGAAATGTACAGTGGACTAAAGAAAGATCACGGCAAGTCTACAATCGTGTAACAGGTCTAATATTTTAGTAGCATAGATGAGTGTACTAATACCTATCCAGACCACAGTTCTATAGACCACTACGCGCTATTATTACAGGAGAATGTTGAAAGGCTTCCAATAAAAACAACAATAGATCCATCAGAAATGCCAGAGGTATTAAATAAAGTGTAAGACGCAGTCGTATGTCCCAGTCGCGTTTTTTCTGTGTTGCATCGCAAGCGCGGTATAAAAGAAAAGGAGTAATGAAAAACAACCTTGATGGCTAGTGAAGTGGAGTGATTTGAAATGAGGGAATAAAGGTATGATTACTGATACCAATTGAATTTGATCAAATCGATTGTTACGCAAGTACAATCAGAACAACTTCAAAAACAAGCTAAACG